AGTAGTAGTAGTAGTAGTAGTAGCAGTAGTAGTAGTAGTAGCAGTAGTAGTAGCACTAGTAGTAGTAGTCGTCGCCGTCGTCGCCGTAGTAGTAGCAGTGTAGTAGTAGTGGTAGTAGTAGTAGTAGTAGTAGTAGTAGTAGTAGTAGTAGTAGTAGTAGTAGTAGTAGTAGTAGTAGTAGTAGTAGGTAGTATGTAGTAGTAGTAGTAGTAGTAGTAGTAGTAGTAGTAGTAGTAGTAGTAGTAGTAGTAGTAGTAGTAGTAGTAGTAGTAGTAGTAGTAGTAGTAGTAGTAGTAGTAGTAGTAGTAGTAGTAGTAGTAGTAGTAGTAGTAGTAGTAGTAGTAGTAGTAGTAGTAGTAGTAGTAGTAGTAGTAGTAGTAGTAGTAGTAGTAGTAGTAGTAGTAGTAGTAGTAGTAGTAGTAGTAGTAGTAGTAGTAGTAGTAGTCGCCATTTTGGCTCAAGCTTCTTCTGCGGGCCGCCCGCTGGCCGGACAGCTCACGGGCACCGACTGGCGAGCGCGGCAGCCCGACCCTCGTCGCTGCCATGGCGCCCGCCTGCTTGGCGGCGCTCGCGCCACTTGCTCTCGCGCCGGCCGCCAGCGCTTTTCCGTCCTTCCGCACGAGGGTGCCGATGGGCACCCGGGTGCCTTGCCCGCCAGGAGCCGAGGGCTGCTCGGAGGGCTCTGCCAGGCTGGGCGAGCCCGCATCAGTCTGCCGCGGGCTGGGCCACACCAGCTGTGCGGGTGGCACGCCGACACTTAACCCCTTCGGCAAGGCGCTGCGTGCTGCCGACTTCCAGTGGACGACCGCGCTCTGGCGCTCTGCCAGGCGGACAGCGACGGCGACGGCCAGACCAACGGCCAGGAGCTCGGCGACCCGTGCCGCTTGTGGTTCACCGGCGCGCCAGACTCAGCGTACATGGCGGGCTTCAGCCCTTCGCACCCTGGGGACGCGGCCAGCAACCAGGGAGCGGGGTATGGGTCCCCAGAGTGCGACGCAGGCGTTGCTCCCGCCTGGCCAGTCGATCAGATGGCCGCGTTCAACCATGGCGAGGAGCAGCGACGGGTGGACTTCATCATCAAGAACTACACGACCCCATCTGAGAGGACCACCTACGTGGACTTCGTTTTAACTTCCGCGATACGGATCACTCGGTCTACCACATCGTCTTCGGCGAAGCTCTGGTGGACCAGCCGAGGCACCTGCACCACTACGTCGTCACGGGTTGCCCATCGGCGAGGGCGTCGGGATCGTGGGCTTCAGGGTGAACGTTCATTTCACGGACGGAGACCTCTATCCGGGCGGCGTCTCCCAAGACGGGCTTAGAGTGCACTACGCGCCCGATCTGCGCAAGGACACAATCGACACCACCACCCCGATCATCATCTCACGCAACCCCAGCATGGTCATTCCACCAGGCCTGAACCGCTGGTTTGTCACCCGCACCTGCCAGGTTTTGGATGTCTGCGAAGACGTGGCCGACGAGCTTGCGATGGAAATGACGGGCGGCCAGACGTGCAGCACGATTTCGTCGTTCGGCCTGGCGGCTTGCAACGTCGAATACATCCAGCGTTATTGTCCGGTCACCTGTGGTATCACCTCCAAGTGCCTAGCTATACAGAAGGGTGGTGCCCTCCCCCTGGTAAGCGTCAGTTTCCACGGGCATCTCCTGGGATCCGAGATGTATCAGACCCTGACACGCGAGGGGGTGACGTACAACCTGGGCAGCGCGTTCCCCTGGCACTACGACGACCAGGTGACCAACTCGCTGCTGTCTATGAACCTCAGCGTCCAGGCAGGCGACGTCCTCCAGTCCACCTGCGGCTACCAGTCGGACTCGCGCTCGGAGGGGACCAGCTTCGGACAGGAGACCGTGGACGAGATGTGCATCATCGCCCTCGGGACGCTGCGGAGCTCCACCACCGATCCGCCCCTCATGGCGTTCGGCTGCCGGGGCGACGCCTGGACTGGGCAGCTGTCGCCCGGCGAGGACGGCCTCCAGGTCGCGCTGGGGCACCCGGCGTCGGAGGCGACGCTGGTCTGGCGCCCGGGGCCCTACGGCAGCGTCGTCTCCAACCCGTCGCCGCTGCGCTGGGAGCCGGAGCAGGAGACGACGGCGCCCGCCGGGGGGCCCGGGGCGGAGGATGCGGAAGACCTGGCCTCCGGTGCGGGGCGCGCCTGCGCCGCCACCCCCGCGCTCCTTGCGGGGCTCGTAGCCGGCGCGGCGGTCTGCTAGCTGGTCCGCCGGCCGGGCCGCGTGGGTGTGCGCCCTGCACGAGCTCGGGCGTCCAAAGCTCTCTCTCTCTCTCTCTCGCTCTCTCTCTCTCTCGCTCTCTCTCTCTCTCTCTCTCTCCTCTGCTGCTTTTCCCTCAGAGTTCATGGCCGAGGCGCGGAGCGAAGACAATGACCCCCCAATTGCTGCATTGCAAATTTGGAGTTATCTGGGGCATACGTGCCGTGTGAGTTCGTGCCACATTTTTTCCCGTACCTCATGGTTGTGGACACTCCTTGGTAACATCTTCGTGATGCCAAGGCAGTGGCAGGAAAGCTTAGTGTCCAGGTTAGTTTAAAATGGTATTCTATATGAAAAGGTGGTTACGTGGGCGTGTGGGATTGTTGGAATGCGGTTTCAGGTCCCAAGAAGATGTTGTAAGCATAAAAACAACATTCCCCTTTTGCGTTTTGAGCTTGTTTTTTAGCGTTCGCTGATCAGTTGTTTTCGCTGTTTCGCATTGCTGTCTACCACGTCCTCATTTACTTCTCCTTGCGTCCAGTCCTCCCGATATCTGTATACTATTCATTTCGTTTTTCACTGGTCGTCGCCGCTGTGTGGTCGCGGGGTCTCTGGGCCTGTTGCGCTGCGGTGTTCGACCGGTGTTCGGACGTTTGTTGGGGCGTTCTCAGGTCTGCGCTCTGCGTGCGGAGCGGGAGGGACGGGAGGCGGCAGGAACAGGAGAGCGGGAGCGAAGACGGCAGTGAAGACAAGGAGCAGCGTATGATAAGAACATCACCAACGCTTAAACATGAGGATCCACAGCGACAGGCCTCCAAGCTCCTCAAATTCGTAGTGTGGGTTTAGCGTTTTTAGTCCGTCAAGGGGCCAACGTGAAAAACGGAAAAAGATGCTCAGGGCGTTTAAAAGAAGAACCCAGTTCTCTTGTCAAAACGGAGTTGGAGAACAGCACGCCTGGGAATTGACAGCGTGTGCCCGACTATTTCTGGTCCGATGCTCGCCTGGCAGAGCTGAGTGGGAGGTTTCATGGCAAGGTGGGCGGAAGCAGCCATCACCACTACTACCGCTACTTTCGCTGTCGTCACCACAAACACTTATCTATGTCCAATGCTGTGGCGCTGCCCCCCGCATTGTGTCACACATTCTTTCGTGGACCCCTCCCCACGTGATCAGTTCGCAAAGTCGTCGTTCGGCCCATTCTGTACCAAGTTGCCTGCGGCAAGCCTCGCTATCGTGCAAGCGTAGAATTAAGATGCATGCAAGGTGGTTCTACCGAGGTCTCCGGACAGGCTCGGTAGAACCATCCTATGGCCATCTTGGAAGCCACTCTACGTTGCGTTGTGTGTTTGGGCTTCTTGGAGAGGCTTATTAAATGCTTATTAGGGATGTGTATGGTGCCCATTGGAAGTTTCTTTGGGCTCTCTCGGGGCGTTCTTGGGGAGCCTGTTGTGGGTCTCGAGGCCGTCATGGGCGCGACGTCTGAGCGGGTCTTGGGGCTGTTTTGGTGTCTTCTTGGGACATTATTGGTAGGTTCTCGGTGCGTCTTGGGGCCCGCTTGGTGCCCTCTTGGGCAAGTTTTTGTCGTAGCTTTTGGCCGAGAAGCGTTGGAAGCAAACAGCTAGGAACATACTATGGGGTTGTTTGTTGTTGGCCTCTCAGGGCGTGAGTCCTGTTGGGGCCTCTTGGTGCTTCTAGGTGGTATCTTGAAGTTTTTTGGGAGTCGTTAGGCTTTGTAGGCTGGTATGCGGGCCGCCTGGTCTGCTCTCAGGGCCGTCTTGGAGCACTCCGAAATCGGTCTTGGCTCGTTTCGGGCATCGGCCTGGAAAGGTGACGCGCTGCGAAGGACGTGGGATCGCCCCTTGGGAGCTTGAGAAACTTTCACCAGACAGTCAAGAGGCGTTCTAACGCGCCGCATCGTGCCGAAGGCACGCTGGCGGATCCAATGCTTCCCTCTCCACCAGTCAGAGCCGCTAGCCTTGTCGCAGCATCGGCTGCCTCCCTTGTCTCCTGTCCAACCCAGTCACGCTCCCGCCGCGTCGTACTGTGCCTCTTCGCTGCAGGCCGCGAGGAGCAGGACGAGGAGGAGGAGGAGGAGGAGGAGCAGGAGGAGGAGGAGGAGGAGGAGGAGGATCGTGGATCGAGGACAGGACCGAGGACCGAGGGTCGAGGTTCAAGGATCGAGGTATAAGAGGATCGTGGAGGAGGAGGAGGACGAGGTGGAGGATCCTGGCGGTGTGGCTGGGCTTGATCGAGGCGGGCTGCGCGCGGGGCCTCCGCCGGATGCGCGCCCAGCCGCCCCGCTCGGGCCCGGGCCCTCCGCGCCCCAGGATACCATGCCGCAGCAGCAGCCGAAGCCCGCCTCCGCCGCGCGCCGCAGCGGCAAGCGCCCCGTCAGGTGCCCGCCGGCTGTGGACGAGGCACCGCTCTACATCGTGTGCAGTCAGAACTGATAGTAAGGATGCGCGAGAAGGATGCAAGTCCCTTGGACGCTCACGTCGAAGCTTTTTCGAGTGGGGCTGGCCATCCAAAGTGGTTAGGGATGGACCGAAAAGGCGAGGATGCGAGGGCACCTTTGGGAAGGTTGCCCATCCTTACTATCGGTTTCGATTGTACTGCATCTCGTCAGGAGCATTCGAGAGTTGAGCGAATATTGCGAAGGCCTTACGGCCAGTGCCGCCACCATTGAGGGGGGACGAAGACGACGACGACGACCACGACTACGACGACGACGACGGCGGCGGCGGCGACGACGACGACGACACTCACGCTCTGGAGCCCTTCTTGATGCTCTCTTGGGAGCCTCTTGGGAGACTTTTTGGGAAGCTCCGTGGTCACTTGAGCCGCCGCGGAGCGGATCTTAGGCCTGTTGGAGGCATGTCGCAAAGTACGCCGAACCCCGCAACAGCAGATAAGAGTGAGGAGGGCGCCTCCTGGGGGCGGGGTGGTCCAGGAGGAGGGGTGGTGGTGGTGGTCCTCTTGTCCACAAGGGGGAGCGGGAGGGGGAGGGGAGGGGCGAGGCCCTGTCCACAAGGGGGACCACCCCCTTGTCCCCGCTGTCCACAGGGGGGTTCAAGGGGGGGAGGGGGAGGGGCACTGAGTTCCCCTTGTCCACAGGGGCGGCCACACCTTGTCTCCATTGTCGGCCCAGGGAAAGGGAGGAGTGGCGACGGGGACGACGACGACGACTCAAACGGAAAAGGGGAGTGGCGATGGCGACGACGACGATCCAAACGGAAAAACGACTCTCAGACACGTCGACTTGGTCGGCGGATTTGGGATGTTTGATTGGCCTTCCTTGTGTTGGTGAGCAGGTTGACGACCATCCGTGTAACACAAGTGCTCCAGTTCGGAAGGACGTGTACCACTGTACCACATGTTCTTCAATGCGTCTTCTTTCGCTCTTACAATTGCCCTGGTCTCGGAGACCGCGCAGATCTTCCTGCGGCCCTCGCAGGTGTCGCCAGCGCCGCCACCGTCTCCGTGCCCGATCTGCCCTACGTGTTCAGCGTACCCTGGGGCGTCGTCGACGCTGGAGACTCTTCCCACACCGCAGTCACCACCACCGATCCCGTCCTCTGAGGGCGGGTGGAGCATGCGGACGCTGGCGTTGACCACGCGCCTCGAGCTCATCATCGGACTGTGGTGCGTCGGCTGCAACCATGGATGCTGTGCCTGGAGGTGGACCAATGCCAGCCAACCCAAGCGGGCCGCCCCAGTTTGCTGCCAGAAGGCCTCTGGCATGGATGGCTCCTGTGTCCGGAACGCCCTTGTGATGTTGTAGGAGGGCTTGCGGTGGTGTTGTTCTCGACGGCGGTTTTCAGTAGGCTTCTGTGGGTTGTGATCCTCACGCCCGATGGCGACCTCTACTGCGAGAAACACTCAGACGACTTGGCTGATGTGGCTGCGGTGCGGTACACATCCCAGCGTCGTCCATCCCCTCTCGGTCTAGATCACAGCCTGGACTGGCGCTGCCGCCTACGCGCTGGTTTCATGTCCAGTCCAGAGAACTTTTGGGCTGTTTTCAGGGCTGTCTAGATTTTCTCTTGGGGTCAGTCGGGCCTCGTCTTGGGCATCAGTCAAGCGTCCTCAGGGCTCTCTTTGACCGAATTGAGCTATTTGATCTTCTGATGTTCAGACGGGGCGCATGCGACAACGCCACAACCATAGCACGTCGCGCTTGCGCATAAGAGTGAGGGGGAAGGGGCGGTGTGTGTGTGTGTGTGTCTCCCCAAACATGGCCCCAAATTGCAGCCCCCACATGTGGCCACCCATAGTTGCCTGCAAGTGTGTGTGTGTGTGTGTTTGTGTGCGTGCGTGCGTGCGTGCGTGCGTGTATGTGTGTGTGTATGTGTGTGTGTGTGCGTGCGTGCATGCGTGCGTGTGTGCGTGCGTGCGTGTGTGTGCGTGTGTGTGTGTGTGTGTATGTGTGTGTATCTGCACCGCCTCGGCCGTTGCTGGCCTGGTTGCTTACTCAGGTCACGTGTGACCTCGGCACCCGCCGGACCGTGGCTTCCTTCCGCGTTCGCCTTCGTCACCAGCTCTGCTGGGCACTGGTTCCCCGCCACGGCCTGCTGCCTTGCACCCTGCCTTGCCGGCTTCCCCCCCCTCCAGCCGCCGGCCCGCCGCTGCTGGTCCCCGCCCTGCCGGCGCCGCCCCCGCCGCGCGCCTGGCCCTGCTCTGAGCGGGCCCGGCTTCCTCCTCCCTCCAGCCGCCGTCAGGCGCCTCCTCCCTCCTCCTCCTGCATGGTGGCTTAATTTGCGCTTCGTGCGCCTACCAACGCCCTATCGCCAGCACAGTGCTGCCTAGCCGCCGAGGGAAAAGTGTGTGTGTATATCTGTGTATGTGTGTGTGTGTGTGTGTGTGTGTGTGTGTGTGTGTGTGTGTGTGTGTGGGGGTTCGCATGTACCTGTGTTTTTGCACGCGCATGCGTGCACACGCATGTGTGCTGTTCAACCTTTTCGTTTCATTCAATGTGTCGTGGACTTTGCGCTGCACTGGAACCCAAGCGCGCAAAGCGCCCGCGTGGTTCTAGAGTGTGTAAGCACATACTACAGAAAGAGAGAGAGAGAGAGAGAGAGAGAGAGAAAAAAACGAGACGGGGAGAGCGGTGCGCGACCGAATCGGATCGAGGCAACCAGCCGTCACGTCCTTAGTGCTCCCG